ATCTGAATTTTGTAGTTCAGCTACAGTTTGATCGCAAACAAAAGATTCATCACCAGGAACTTCATACGTATTATTACTTTCTGTCTCTGTATTGAATAGCTCTTCAGCGATCCAATTTGGTTTTGGTTGTTGCTGGGCTGTCGAATTATGTTCAGGTTTGAAAGAAATTCTAGCAGAAGTACTCATTGGAGTAGTTTATGGCAAAGTACGGTTAGGGCTAGGTTTGAAAACATTTCTGTTTTCTGTGTTTGTATAAAAACGTGAGAATTCGTCGGAAATCTCTGAGGGCGATAAACTGGCCTTGGCAAGTTTACAGGTCCAGTCGGAAAAGTCGAATTGAATCTAGGTTGAAATGTTGAAGTGTTCAGCTGACTGAATGAATAATTAGTAGTCTGAAAGTATGAAGGTCTATTTTGATTAATGATTGGCCTTTGCATTGGCCTGGAAGTTTGATTCTGTGGCACATTTTGTGATTTTTCAAAATTTTTGTTATAATTTTGGAAATAGCTGACATTGTCTTCAGATATTACGAATTGTAAAGCTTGGGTGAGAGATGTGGGTTTCAAACATTTAATTGTTCTACCCAAGGGCTCTCGTAGTCCGCACAAAAATGTTTTCAGACCTAATTCTTGATATAAATTTCTTTTTAACACTTTTGCTTCTCCAGAATATTCATGTACGTTTACATGGCTGCATAGCAGATTCAAAATATGAAGATACTTATCAATAAATTTTTGGGGCGCTTCATTTATCATTTGTCTCAACATAACCAAATCACGGTTTAGACAAGTTTCATCTCTTTGATCAGAAAAATTCCTAGTCTTTTAAATCTACCCAACTTGTGATATTTTGGATATTCACAAGCACTTTAGCATTTCCTTTTAATTTCGAGATCAGTGAATTTAGCAAATAGATATTGAAATTATGTGGATTCCGTATATCATAGAAATGTACAATTAACGTTTCACTCACTGATAGAAACCTATTTAAGTCATTAGGATTTCCGTCAAACTCTGGGACGCAATTTAAAAATTCTGGTCTGAATTGAGACATGCACATTATGACATTTAAATTGCATTTTATTGTTATCAAAATAGTGTGTGAGTAGTTGAGAGAGAATTCCATTAAATATATATATATATATATATATATATATATATATATATATATATATGGAGTAGAGTTTACCAGTGATGTAATGTCATTAATCTAGTATAAAATATAAAATTCCGAACGGCATGAATTTTAACACAGTCCGTGAGTAAATTGAAGCAACTCCCCATAAAATGGCTTAATGATTGGAAAATTAAACATAACGATCAATACAATCACTCTCGATTTGCGACTGAATAGTCAAATACTAACTGGATAATATATAGATTGGAAACTGCATTATCATAAAGTGATAGATTGAACATTACACATGACAATTCAAAAATTCAAGATGACGTATGGTAGCCACAATGATTTTTTTAGGCCCGTATCGTCAGTCGTCTCTACAATTGTAGGGCGCCTTTATGGCCTCCTTGATTGTCATAGGTTTCTACTTCTCCGTGTCAGCGCTCTATTTTGAGGTTATGTTACAAACATCTATTTGCATCAAATTGTGCTTGCTTTTGACTTATATCATGTTTTATCAGCCTGAAATTTCCTACAATTTAAAAAGAAAACATATCTTCACAATAGGAGAGCGCTGACGCTGACACGGGACAAGTGTAATCTAGAAATTTTTGAAGAAGAGAAAGCAGTATGACAATCAAGGAGGCCATAAACGCGCCCTACAATTGTAGGGACGACTGACGATACGGGCCTTAGTCTAATGAGAGTCATGTTTAACATCATTTTGAAGCTCATAACGAGAGTTCTATAAAACTAGAATGTAAAATAAATAAATAAGTAAAATGGCGGATTGACGGGCTGTCAAAGTTTTTGTCAAAACGCTATGTTACCTTCTAGGGTGCGTGCTCCCCCTTCCCCTCCCCCCTAGACGTCCGACTGACATTTGTTTTTGTAATCTAACTCCATTGTGTTACTACCTGACACATCATGGCGACAGAGGCATGCTAACTATAAGTTACAGCTATAGGAACTAAGCATTGCGATTTTCTGGAATCCTTTGGTATCCCAAACGCTGTCTCTTTTTGTCATCACTTACGTTTAGGTACAGCACACACACACACACTAAAAAAGTGATTTTTGTTCTGTTTGTTGCTCAGTAGTAATTTGAGATGTGTGTAAAGCTTGACTGATTTTGTTTGGGGTTGGTGTTGCTGCGAAGCACTATGTTGAATGAATGCCTAAATCGGAAATGGGCATTTATGAGATTTGTTTAGCGGTGCGCCTGTGTCCTGTCCAGAAAATGCGTCGATCGATGCTAAAAGTCAATACCACACGTCCCGCATCTCGTCGCGCGTATGTTGTTATATTCAATTCGTTTAAATCACAGAGCTTTTGCACTACACGTGAATATGTACAGCCCTGTATTGCTGTACTTGTTTCGTACAAATATACATTATCGGAATAATTACAGTCAGATATAGTTTTTTCCAAAGATTTACAACATTTTTACATGCGATCAACACCGATTCGAAAACTGAGAAAACAGTAACTAAGTTTGACAACGAAAGTCTGAAGAATAACAGCAACATCTATATTGAATTTCAATAAATAATTGACTATACCTATTGATATTTTTATCAGTATTTGCGCCAATTACTTGATTTGTTTAATGGGCAGGTCAGAGTCTTAATCCTTAAGCCTATTACACACTAGTAGACACAGTTGCGTAATTTGTCTATAGGCAGTCGTGTAATACAGTATTGCGTTTCTGAAGATTTCTGAACATTTTTCATGTTTTTTTAAATCCGCCCTTGCTCCCAAGGTGTTTAAGCACGTTCTATTTCCGAACGCATGTAACAGAAGTGCATCAAACGCTAGAATTGGTACTTTTAAAAAAGTCTATTCGAATATGCAATAAATCACGAGAGTTCCGATTCAAAAAGTACCGACTATGACATTTTTTTATGTCAAGCTCAAGACTTGGATCGTAGCATGTATAATGATCTATGTGCCGATATTTCGCAGCAGTTGAAGATAATATCATTAAAATGGCAGCGATGTCCGATTCTGCTCCCACTAGGCTGGAAGTCAAATTATCAAAAGTAAATAGGACATATAGATTTGACAGAAAGGTGAGCTGTCAATTCTACCTTGAAAGCTGTTCTTAACCTCAGACATGACCGCCAACTTAGCTAGTGCCATCAATTTCAAGCTTCCCGGTTTAACCCCCCCCCCCATATTTGATTCATGTATAATGGTAGATTCATATAAATAATATATTCATTATGCTTTCTTCCACAAAAAAAGTAACGCGCTCTATAGAAAATCTGCTACGGCCTTTTGTTACGTTTCGTCACATTGCCCCATCATCATTGCTTTACTCTGCCGGACTCATTTTTTCTGCTCCAGATATTTTTCCCTGTGTTATACTTGTCCGGAATCGGAATCGTATTTGAGCCAATCGATAGAAGATAGAAGTTACAAGCTGCTTTTTAGGCGGGAGAGTAAGAAGAGAACGAATAAAGCATAGCTACTTTTTTCATGACTAGACGAACTTTTCAATTTACAATAACGACACCCTATTGTTAAGAAAACAATGGTATAAGTAAAATATGTTGCTAATTTGGTTTACTTTAAGAAATGTGTTGGAATAACAATCGATACATATTCGAATGGCTCCAGTAAGCAACAGTTTCTGATTAAATATTTGAATCAATTTTGTATATGCTGAATCACCCGCGTGTTGCAGTATTAATCAAAAGCAGGTTCATCTGGCAGGCTTAGGATGCTTGGGAGATAGTATACCACCTACGACCAATCAAAACATCCATACTAGGTGGGAAATCTATATGTAAATTGCACCAGTTAGGTTGGCGGCTACCTAAGTTAAGCCAAAGTTCGCAGAGTATTTGAAAAGAAGGGAAGAATAAAAGAGTTTGGAATTCAAATTATTTATAATCTGTCAGATATGTCTTTGACCCATCGACTCTTGACAGTTTGACCTCCAACCACACTAGCGCTGCCTAGCCAGAGCAAAATTGTACACTTTCGGGATGGGTCTTGAATCTGCGCAGATCGTGATATTGAGAATGTTAACTGTATACCTACGACCTTCACCTCTTCACAAAGGATTTACATAAGAACTATCTGTTCAGCCCATCTTGATACAGGGGAAACATGAACGATATAGTATGAATTATCTGTAACGCGCACATTTTTAGAAATTTACTTTTTTAGAATTTAACAGAGTACCCTTGACACACTATGCAACAAAGAACGGGAGTTGTCAAATTTTCTTAGGCGCACGCGCTGTTTGTGAGTCGGCCAAGAAACATTGCGCACTTGAAGGACAATATACGCAATGAAATTGCAATCTTAACGCTCGATATTTAGCACAATTAATTTCTCATCAGTAAGCACATTTAAAAAAGTGTTTCGTTTCAGTTACCGTTCAAATAAAGAAGTTATGCAGAATTTAAACCATATCGACCGTTTTGAGCCTTACTATAATAATAATAATAATAATAATAATTTTTATTCACTCAATGTACAAAGATAACAAACAATATGAGTAAATAAATATAAAATCAAAACAGGCCCAATAGAAGGCATCGCCTGTACATGGACCAATAAATTTAAGTTGAAACTGTAGAATGCAAATGACAAAAGAGGACAAAAATTAGCTACAGTAGATTATGTATTCAGTTGATGTTCGTATTTATGAGTTTATGAATTTCAGTCCTAGATATAGAATGTAGCCACTTTTTTAAATTTCTTTTGAAACAATTTCCGAAACGTAAATCTTTTAAGTCTTTAGGTATAATTTCATAAAATTTAGGCGCTAAATAGATATATATATATATATATATATATATATACCTCCATTGAATCCGATATATTTTGTTCATTTCCTAAAATCATTGCATGTTTATTTTCTTCTAGACACTGACAAGGCATCGACCTCGTCCTCGCTCCCAACAGTCGGAAAAATCCCGCAGTTTCCCTCCGGATCCGATTTCCACATCAGCAGAGACTCCTGAAGAACAGACTTTCTTCGACGAACCTGCTGCAACTCCCGCACTGGTAGGTCCAGAAGCAGGGGATGGAGATGATGTTGATAGGGGGCATCACCAGTACCAAGTGGCCGCTGCTGAACTGCAACCGGTCGCCGCTTACAGGGACCGATATTCAGGGGTCACTACACGTCATCATGACAGAGGTAATTTACTGTTTTATTAGGTTGTTAATCAATGATGCACGGTCAGTTCCTTTATTTTTCGACATTACTGAGAAGATGACCTGGATATAAAGGCAAATTCTCATTTGAGGTCCAGTATAAATTGATTAGGCGGCTACAGTCGTAGCCAAAGCTAGAGATACCGTTGTGTACTTATTTTGATCAAATAATTGAATTGCCGATGTATACGGTACGTAGAATCTTTGACGTGTTTCAATTGGACAGTTCTTATCCACCGCGTTTGCTCCATCCGATGTCAACACAATAACCAGAATAAATAAGAAAAGGCAGGATAATTTTGAGACGTTATGTACTTAGGCAGGTCAATAAAATAAAACTTCTCACTCACGGTTGGTTCGTACAGCGGTCGGTGACTGTGTCTGGTATCCGGCCGTATGAATTTCGTTTATAACAGCCTAGTAGAATAAACGGAATATGTGTGGCGGGATCTTGGACATGGTCACTGACAGATTGTTCGAACACGGCTTCAGTAGCAGATCCCCTGCAAAGCTACATACTTTGACCAGGGTGGTATATCGGTTATTTCTAGGCTGCAGCAGATGAATGAAAGTTTTAAACACAAGTTAATGAAGTACTTGGATAAGCTCAAGGGTGATTCCTAGTGGGAAAATTTATTTAAACATAGGTTGGTCAATGCTTCGTTTTCAAGATACAGGGTGTAAAACTTTTTGAGAAAATTAATTTTTTATAAAATTGTAATCATTGTACAACCGTTCTTGTCAAAATTACCTGAAATTCATCAGATGTAGTCGAATTGACAGAAATTTAACCAGATTGATTCCACAAAAGAACGCCTCATCAAAATCAGAAATATCATGGCATTCAAGATTACCAAATTTAAATCCGTTAAGGTTTCCTTTTAAGGGTGCTTTTATTGATACATTTTTCTTCTCCACTTTAATCTAGATTTTCTGCAGTTCCTAAGTTTCAAACGTTTATCAAAATCTGCTGAATGGTCATTGAGATTTATATGAAAAAGGCACATGTTCGTATGAATTTTTCTCCTGCCTCGTGAATTTTGGCTTGGACTACATTATGTATAGGGGACATCGACCGAAAACTAGCTATGACCGCGCGTCAAACCTATAATAGGTACTTGAGCCTAAGTTGACCTTGAACTTTGACCCTAAAATATTTTGTAAACTGTTGTACCGTGTATCGTCTTTCTGCTACATCGCAACATTTTCCTGCTTTCAACAATATCACAAAAAATGACGAATCATGCTCCTAATATTTTATTTTGACTTTTTATTTTCCAAGAGGTCACAGATTATAGCTTGAAATTCAAAAATCAGTTGGATATCTGACTTCTTGTTTTTTCAGTATGGAAACGAGGACATGAAGACGTAGTTTTAAGGCATGGAGAACGCAGGCCTCATATAGGAGGTTCAAGAATTCTATCTAACACGTTAGATAACGTCGTAGACAATTCTAATAGAAGACAATATGGAATGGGGCTTGTAGGACGGTTGTTTGGGTAAGAATGTAAATTTAGTAAAAATCTAAATATATGTATTTCCCCACACTTCGATAAGTACCAGAGTTTATATTTCAAAATATCCAGATTTGTGTGAATGAAATGGAATAATTAGGTACATAACGGGTATACACAACATTCAGTAGATATGAAAACAAGTAGATGTGTTATAACAAACTCTAGGGCATATTCGAACATAATATGTACCATAACTAAATATTTATCCGTTATAGGTTATTTCAGAGAATCGTTGTCTTAATTTTTGTATACAGCAATTTGCTTGTACACTTAGAGCATACATTTGAAATCGCGCAGAAAATTAGTTTTACGGATAGATGGTAATTCCAGAATGCTTTACAATTCACGATTGAACTAAAACTATCTACTCGTGTTTTCTAAAACAAGTAGGAGCTGTTTTATGCTTCATCTAGGCTGCTACATATTGACTTTTTATGTTCCTAATTTCTTAAAGGATTAGATTATCTCCATGTTTCGATACCTCCGCATAACAGGCGTTCTACACCACATAGTCCACTCAAAATCGCTCATCTGCTCATCCCTTGCCAGCCGCGATTAAACCGCTGAGCTCACGCTTGTCCGAATGAGAGCTTAGCCGTTTAATCGCGGCTGACCAGAAATGAGCGGATGTATTTTGGCAGCGCGTAGCTAACCGAGTTTGAATACAGACCGTCTATTACGCGGAGGTATCGATTTGTAATTGCTCAGACTCAACACTTCTACATAAATTTATTCCCGTGGTTCAAGGATTTTAAGTCTTCCTCCTGAAGGAGAAAAATATGAAAATGTATCTATAGCAGATATGTTCTTCCATTACAGACGTTCCTTCAGAAAATCTGTAGCCCAAGATACAAACGTTAGAGAACAATTAGACGACATGGAAGACTACAGACCCATGTTCACCTACTGGGTAACGACTGTACAGATTTTGGTGCTTTTTATATCGATAGTTTGTTACGGATTTGGTCCTTTTGGCATCGACATGCAGACTAGGTCAGGACAGGTTCTCGTCACCAGTTTATCGTTGCAACAAGTTGACTACATGGAACCTGCAAACTTTTGGTGAGTAGTTTCACTTGTTATAATGTAAGCTATACCATAAATATTGAAATAATGTATTTTGCCGAAAATATTCCGACTCTTGCGTATGGAGCGCAAAACTTCATAATTTTATAGCGCTTATTTCTCTTAGCCCATATAACATTATTATACAAAAAATTACTCATCTGTAGTTGTACGAGTGTACTAAGCTGTGAAAGAAAACGAACTTAGGATTTAACCAAGTATAAACTCGACATATTATGGAAGTGTTTCCCAAAGTGTGGGTAGTCAAAAACACCACTTTTTTAAATCATGTATTTTTATTCTGATGACGCCATAAATAAAAATTAACTAATTACCAAACAAAACATAAAACTGAATATTAATAAATCTAGTGGAACAGATCGAAATTATTAAAATAATTGTTGAACTTTTTCAATGTATTTAGTATAAATTTAAACAGAAAAATAAACTAAAATTTGAAAAACCATCAGCTAGCAAGAAGATTGACTGTACACTTCCCACGCACCGCCCTCACCAGTTCGTAAAGGATTATGTTCAGCACAAGTTAATCCCTATCAAAATAAGACAGCGCCAGAAGACTTTATATCCTGCACAGAGGATAGTTCCAATGCTTCTGTCCGTCATCCCAGACACCAAGCCTAGACAATGCTGATGAGTTGCCAAGAAAGCGCGAAACATCTGTATGTAGTTGGCTGTCTTTGATTAGACGGGCGAAGGCAGCATGTTTAAGTTAGACCCTCTAAGAAAAAAGGATTAATTAGTTCACTCACAATACTCGTATCTTTATAATTACCCGCCTTCACATTGCCTAAAAAATTGGCAGTAACTTATTTAAAAGCATTCCAAATTCGTAATTCAGTTTCATTTAGAGCACTGTCAAGTACATCATCCTTCATGATTTTCCGTATTTGTGGACCCACAAATATGCCCTCTTTAATTTTTGCCTCACCAAGTCTTCGAAATGTTTGTTTTAAATACAGAAACCCTCTTCCATTTCGATCCATAGCTTTCACAAAATATTTCATCAGTCACAACTTAATATGCAAAGGTGGAAGCAACACGTTTTTGGAATCAACTAGTTGTTCATGAGCAACGTTTTCGATTCCGGGAGTTAATACCTGACATAGTGGCCACTCCTTTTGTTCATAATGATGATCTCGCGCACGACTGTCCCAGGTCAAACGAAGGATGGGAAATTTTTACGCTTTCTGTACCATCACTTTCAGAATCGCTGGATTCGACTTTTTCATCCAAAGACCAAGATTCTGGTGGAACTGGGACAGAAAGTTCATCACTATGCTTAACGGGCCGCAAAGCTGATGGTAAATTAAAATTCTTAACAGTTTGTTTCGATTTTGGTCCAATACCTTTAATATTTGTGAGGTAAAAATAGCAAAAGGTATTTTACGATTGTCGCCTCTTAACCAACCTGTTAACAACGTTACACAAGTCTTAGAACATATATGAGGGGCCCATAGTTTATTTTGATCGCCAACTTTAATTCCAAAATAAAGTTCGTATGCTTTCAACACAAAGCGAGTAAAAGTACGTTTTTGGGATTTAAAAGTTAGCTAGCCACACACATAACAAAAACTGTTCGCACGATTTACACATTTTCTAGGCATTGTCCATAAAGCTAGTCTCGATCACAATAAACTAAAAATAAGACTCCGTTTTAACATAAATTAACAGTACTCAGAACATCTCAGTACTCTTCAACACAGAAAACGTAACTGACTCGGCTGCTATTAGTCTACTAATAAACGCAATATGCTCTCTAAACATAGAGCTCGCATATAATAAACAAGAATAGACAGGTCTTAACATTATATACATATATATATATATATTCGTCATCGCATAAACGCCGAGAAATGCAGCAATATGAGATGTTACGTATATATTATTGTAAATCATAAAAGTACATGTTACCGAATATCTGTGGGTGATAGAAAAATTCTGTTTTTAGATTCGGTTTAAGGGTCTCAAAATACATAAGATACACCCCAAAATTGTCTTGTCACAAATCCTGTGTTTAACAGTGTTATCGGGGTCCCGCTCCTCCCCCTAGAATCCACATTTCCCAATTTATTAGTATTGAAAAAAATTTCAATATTGATCAGGATCCTCTGAAACGTCAAGAAACGAAGTGTGATTTTTAGTTTTTCGTTTTTGACCGTTTTATGTCGTTCATGAGTTTACACTTTTTTGTCCTAGATATAGTAGTAACATTGTGTGAAAATGTCATTAAAATTCGACCGGTACTTCTCAGGTTATACTCGTAGAACGGTTAAGGATTATCGAACAGACAGATAGACAGTTCGATGGAAATATACTAAGTGACATATAAATCCGAACACCCAGTTTAAATGGTTTTATTTTAATAAAATTTTGTATAAGTACTTAATGAAGCATAATAAGTAAATGATAAAAATTTCAAAATGATTGCACTGCTTTAAAGCCCTTTGACCTTTAATAATGTGTGGATGCACCCTGATGTGCTACGCATTCTCCAACGCGCCTAGGCATGCTTCTGATCAGGTGGTCAATGTCCTCCTGTGGTATCTCATTCCAGGCCACCACCAACTCCTCTCGAAGTGCTTCTAGAGTGTGAGGAGGACGTTGCAAATTGAGCAATCTCCTACCCATCATATCCCACACGTGCTCAAGTGGGGATAAGTCGGGAGATCTTGGTGGCCATGGTAACAATGTGACATCATTATGTTGAAAGAAGTCTATTGTGACTCTTGCAACATGTGGTCGGGCATTATCTTGTTGGAAAGTTGGATCTGCCAGGGTGTCAAGATAGGGTAAAAGATGGGGTTCTAGAACTTCGTGGATATAACGCTGCGCGTTCATGTTACCTCTGATGAAGATTAAAGGTGACCTGGAACCATAAGCTATAGCACCCCAAACCATAACTCCAACAGTGTGATGAACATGTCTTTCAACAAAAAACTGTGGATTCCTCCTTTCACCACGTCGCCTTCTAACCCTGGCACGACCATCGTACTGTTCCATTCCTGATCCCAGAGTGACCGTTGTCTGCACCACTCAAGGCGATTACGTCGGTGTTCTCGAGTTAAAGGGAGGACCCAGTGTGGCCGGTATGAAAACAAGCCAAAACTTCTCATTCGTCGATAAACACTTCGCATGCCAATAGGTCTTCCGTGTTCTGCAAACCATTCATTTGCAATGGACCTGGTAGTGGGGAAACGGTCCCTTAAGGCCAATAATCTTAGGCGGCGATCTTCACGGTCTGTTGTTCTACGGCGGCGTCCAGTGCCCCTTGCTCTTTGCGTACGGCCTTCTCGAAGTGTCTACACTTCTTTGCACTCTAACTGCAATTGCCCACTATACGGCCCCTATCAAACTCACTAAGTTGACGAAATCGTACAGGTCTCCGTACCCTAGGCATCGTAACCGATCGTAAAGGATGTCAAGAACCAAAATCCGCCAACGTTGATTCTTTACTGCGGCTGAAATATTGATTTTTAGAGCGTTAGTGAATTAAAAAAAAGCAGTATAAAAACCGGAATGTCCAACTGATAAGGCTGAACATTTTTTCACTTGTTATTTACAGTAAGATAAATACATTCACCAACTTTTATTAAAATAAAACCATTTAAACTGGGTGTTCGGATTTATATGTCACTTAGTATAATTTACATGGTTTTTCGTGATGTCATATAGCATCCAAAAAGCATAGTAGCGTAGCAAGTTTGGGAAACACTGTATTAGAGCATGTGTATAAAATGCAGCTTTGTTCACAAAATTCTAATACCTTCTAGGTTTGGACCGAGGGCCAACGATTTGATACATCTAGGCGCGAAATTTGCTCCTTGTATGAGGGTGGACACGAAAATTAAGAAGGAAATCGACAAGATCCAAGCAAAGGAAAGAGAAACTGCTTGTTGTATAAGGAATGATGATTCCGGTTGTGTGCAATCTTCTCAAGCGGATTGTTCGGTGAGTGCAAAATTATCTTTACGGTCAGTGGCGCTACCTAATATTTCTTGGTCTTGCATGTGATTAAAAATAACGTTTGTAGAACAAACTATGTTGAGCTTTTTTAATAACTCCTGGTAGAAAGCAGCAATCTACCCATATGGACAATCAGCATGCTTTTATAATTGCTAATAAATCAGTTAAAAAAAACTAAAAAAAAAACGCGTTAGTAACAAATCGAACTTAAAAATAGAAAATAATTTTCAAGTATAGGAGAGTTTGTGTTACTCCAATAGAAAGCCCAACAATCAAGTATTAATTTGTAGTAAGATCAATCAAAAAATCAAGATATTAACAAAAAATTCAATTACAGTGAAAAAGCGTGGGATGCTTGATATTAAATGTTAGAATTAATTTAGACGTCAACGTCAAAGTACTCATAATCAAGAGCTTCGATTTTTAATATTTTATATTTGACAATTAATCTGAGTTTACTTTTAATTTTTTTCTGATTTCTAAAGTTCCAAAATATTTACAAAATATCCAAATCATTAAAATATTTTCGAAATTTTCCATTTCTCCTTTTTTCAAAATTCAAAATTTAAAGTTGTAATTTTCAAATTCAATTTCTTCTAAGATTTATTTTACTGTTATCGGCCCTTGAGCCCTGTGCAAATGCAAAGTTAGTCAGACTTCATGAAATTGATAAAGATTAGGTTGAAAGATTCCATTACATACATGCACACATACACATACATACAGGTCAAGCTAAAAAAAGCGTGTTAAAAAAGACATGCAGAATATCAATACTCCAGTAGTGATCTCTTAAACACAATTTGCCACCTAACTTGGTGATAGGACCACGATCATCTGAAGTGATAACATAAAAATGCGAAGGAATTAATGCCGAGTGCCTATTGTATGATTTATCGTGAACGAGTACTTTATTGCAAGCTATCGATGTATATTTCCCTAAATGCAGAATTAATAATGATTCTTTTTGTTATTTGCATCAGCTGCGAGGATTACGGCCAACGGTAAGTGTAATGGAAAATACGAAACCGCATGAGCTGCTTTCAGTAACTCGTTAAATTTTTTTGCACCTGCGTCAAATATATCTTTATTCTGGCCACTCAAATATTTCCGCTCAACACCAAAACGTTTTTCCTGCACTTGCGTTTTGTAAAATTTGGTGTGTCAATGTGCTCAGAAAGCGAATAAGTATGTAATATTTTTGTGTGATGTGATCAGATATTTAACTTTTTACGTATTTTTCCTTATTCAAAAACATTGATCCTTACAAGCTGTATAATGTGTTTCTTTACAGAAAACCATATCCACATGGAAAAAGTGGACAATGGGTGATGCGGGACCTGGTGGAAGGATATCTGGCTCTGTTTGTGGCTTGGATCCAAAGTAAGTGTGTTTTAGACTTAAAGTGATTTTTCACGAGTATCCTTTCACCAAATAAGGAAAGTTTGATTCAGAAAACGGGTTGATTAATTTTCTTTTCAAAATTGTATAAATTAGGAAAATCGGATATTCAAATATTTGCATCTAAAAAAGGTGCCATAGTTTTTTCAAAATAATGTTTACCCTATTTTTTTGAATGATACTATTATTTCATATAAAGTAGCACTTTTTCAATACTTTGATTGTTCTTATAGATTCTGCGACGCCCCAGCGAGTGTTCACCCGTACGAATGGCCGGATGACATAACAAAATGGCCGATTTGCCGCAAGACCAACACCCAGTTTTCCATCCAGAATAGACCGAAGGACAAATTGGCTGAACATATGGTGTGTGAGGTCATCGGGCATCCTTGCTGTATTGGAATCCATGGGCAGTGCAAGATCACCACCAAGGAGTACTGTGACTTTGTTAGGGGTACTTTTCATGAGGAGGCCTCGCTTTGTTCGCAAGTAAGTAAACACAGCCGCAATATTTTTTTGTGTATTATGTGAATATTTTTGTATTTGTGATCAATAATCTTTTACATCCAGGGTGGCCCATCCATGCGTGGACGGAATATTACTCATAAACAAATCATTTTGGGAAAATCTATTTATGGGATGTTATACATGGCATTCTCTAAAGTATTGGCTATTATGCAGGGTGTCCCAGTTTCGACCTACATATCAAAGTTGTGATTTTTCAAATCGAATGCCGCAAATTTTATTGCATATTTGGATAAACCAATTCAAAAGAAGAAAATTCATATAACATACTATGGGGTTTTGATAATTAGCTACTGAGATATAAGGTGTTTTGTCTAGAAAAACCCCCCAATTCGGCAACCTCTCTGTCCGCCATTTTGAAATTTTCAGTGCTCAATTTTGTATCAAAAAGACTTACACACCTCAGCTTTTATCTTATTTGTTACTTTTTCGAATTTTGATTTTTGGTCATACAGGGTCAAAGAGCAAATTGTAGTTTTTCTCAAAAATTTCAAATGCATCACCCTGTATATTTGTGCAAGCTTGGATTCAATTTTTTATACGCTTTTCTTTGATTCTAGACACATAAGGGTTTTTACGGCTATTTTTTCTGTTATTAGCACGTCTTTTATGGAACGGGTTAATTCCCTAAAATATCGCATCATCCTTGGAAACAAATAAATTGTTGATTAGTTACAAACAGTCTGAATTAGCTTTGTGAGCATTATAATAAAAACGTGTTTGAAAATGAATTTTTCTAATGAACAAATGGTGCATATGGTGTTCGTTTTGGGCGAAGCCCAAAGAAATAGTTTCCTAGCATCTCGCATTTACATATATAAACAACGGTACCCTAATATGCAACATCCAAGGCCGGAAACATTTTCCACACTACGAGAACGTTTTGAATCAAGTGGACCAGTGGAATATAGTCAAAAATGTATAAATAATCCAAGTGTCACCAATGAGGCGAATTAGTTGGAGGTTCTATTAAAGTTGCAGGAAAATCCCCATTTAACTGCACGGCAAATATGAGCAGAAACTGATAAATGCAGAACTTCTGGCCAAAGGATTATTCACAAGCATAAGTACCGTCCATATCACCCATGCTTGCATCAAGGCCTTCGTCCCTAGGATTCCGCAGCTCGAATGGAGTTTAGTAGAATAATGCTCAATAAAGTAACTACTTTTCTAGATAAGGGTCTTTTTAGCGATGAGGCAACTTTTAACAGCATAGGTGTTGTCATAACATGTACTATTATGCGACGGAAAACCCTTACTGGGTTAGGTAAATAGATATCCAAAATAAATGGAGCGTGAAAGTTTGGGGAGGAGTTATTGGCAGACAAGTTATCGGGCCTTTCTTTTTCGACAACCGATTATCAGGTACAGAATACTTGAATTTTTTGATCGAGCATTTGCCTTTGCTTTTGGAGGATGTCAACCTGCAAACTTGGATGAATATGTACTTGCAACATGACGGCGCACCTGCGCATTATCATAATCGTGTGCGTAACTATTTGGAGTAACAATCGTTGGATCGGTCGTGATGGGCCTATATATTGGCCTCCTAGATCACCAGATATGACACCGATTGACTTCTTTCTATGATGCTACGTTAAGCAAGAGGCTTATAGATATCCACCATCTACCCCGGAAAATATGAAGGAAAGGATTAAGAATGCTTTTCTGAACATAAGGGAACACATGCTGAGAGATGTGCAACGGCCATTTATCCAAAGACTACGGCTGTGTATTCAACATGGTGGAGATATTTTCGAGCAGAGTTTGTAGATTAGGACTTGAGTAGTGATAGTTGTTTGTTTATGTTGTTGTTATAGTTGTCTTTCTCTATTACACTTGAAGCTGATTTATACTGTTCTGATTGTTATTAGTTTTTACATCAAATCTGTACTCTTAGTGGCAATATGGAACTAACCCACTGTTTGTCTTTTGTTTCCATGGATGATGTGACTTTTTTCCTCAATTTTGGTGTGATGTTCTATTAAAAGCTTAATAACCCAAAATCTAGTGATTTTATCTGAATCAAACCTTATACCAAAAAAAGCTTATACAAAAAATTGAATCAAAACTTGCGCAAATATACAGGGTGATGCATTTGAAATTTTTGAGAAAAAGGACAATTCGCGTTTTTGACCACCCTGTATGAGCAAAAATAAAAATTCGAGGAAGTAACAAATAAGATAAAAGCTGAGGTTGTTCAGTTTTTTTTTGATATCAAATTCAGCACTCCAAATTCCAAAATGGCGGATTGAGAGGTTGCCGAAGTGGACGGTTTTTCTGGCCAAAACACCTTACATCTCAGTAGCTAATTACCAAAACCCCATAGTATGTTATATCCATCTTCTTCTTTTGAATTGGCTTATCCAAATATGCAATAAAGTTTGAGGCATTCCATTTGAAAAATCACAACTTTGATATGTAGGTCAAAATTGGGACACCGTGTATAATTGCCAATATTTTAGAAATGTGCCCTCAAATGTTATGTATAACATTCCATAAATTGATTTTCCCAAAACGTATTTGTTTATGAGTAATATTTCGTCCACACATACCCTGTATATACAGGGTATTTCAGTTTATTGTTGCATAACTTTAAGATTCGATAGAACTTTTAAAATTAATGCATCAAGTCTATACAATACAAGGGTCGAAAAATGCGTGGCTTCCGAAATACAGGGTGTTTAAATTTACTTTCTAAAATAGTTTTTTTAAATATTTCGAACAATATTTGATGTATAACAGTGAAAATGGGTATACAAGGATTTTTTGGTACGACAAAACGAACCATAGTTTTACTGTAGCCGCTAGAGGGCGCTCTCTACTGTACTTGTAGTGTATTAAAATGACCAAAAATTTTTTCTTAGTGCAATTTTTTGCTTTTTGAATAAAAAAACTGATTCTTCGCACTTTTTAACATAAAAAAGCTCTCTTGTGAGTTTTCGTTACAGTTAGCCGTTTTTGAGATATTTCGATTTTTAAGGTTCGATGCATTTTTAATTATTTATGATAAAATAACGTTAAAAAGTCAGTATCTCGATAATTTTTAGAAGTAGGCTGTGTCTGCAAATATCTTTGAAATTGAAAGCAGAATAAGGTTATACGTCAATTAGTTGACAGTTAGTTTTGTTGTCTGTTGAAACCTGAAACGTTTTTTTGCAATTGTGAATGCACGAAATTTAGTTTCTTTTACCTGTTTTTTTTTTAGTAAGTTTTGTAAAAAGCCCATTTTTATTCTCCAATCAAGAGTTAGCGGATATTCATTTTGTGTATGGCTTTGTAAATGGAAAGGCAGCAGAAGCAGCCAGAGAATACGTACGAAGATTTCCAAACAGACGACATACAACTCGCTCAGTATTTGTATAAGTGCAGCGCCAAATAATTGAAAATGGTTTTGGAAATCTCCAAAGGGATCAAAACATAAATGTTCGTTAGCGCAGATTTACCCATATGATTCTGCGTGAGTTTTATAGAGATCCGACCACAAGTGTTACTAGAGTTTCTGGTGCCTTGGGAATTTCAGCAAGCCATGTTCACCGTGTTCTTAGAAATGACCATAGACGTCCTTACCATTTGCAACCTGTGCAAGGACTACAGCAAGGGGACGGAGAACGAAGAATCACATTTTGTCAGTTGATTCTTAATAGAACTGATAATAATAGGGAGTTTTTAAGTAACGTTTTATGGACCGATGAGTCATGCTTCACTAGACGTGGAGTGGTAAATTTTCATAATCAACATACTTGGTCGCATGATAATCCGCATGCAGTTCGGGAAGAAATTTTCAGCATGAATTTAGTGTGAACGTGTGGATTGGTATCTACCTTAATCGACTATTTGGACGCTACCTTTTGCCTGGTTAAATGCTGCGACCTTCTTGGAATTTTTAAAGGCTGAACATGAAAATATGTGGGATGATGTTATGTTAGATTTAAGAAGATTGGCCTGGTTCCAGCTTGATGGTTGTCCAGCTCATTATTCGAGAATAGTTAGAAACTGGCTGGACGAAAATTATCCAGAAAGATGGATCGGCCGTGGAGGACCAGTCGCCTGGCCTCCACTATCCCCTGACCTAAATCCATTAGATTTCTTTGTGTGGGGATTTCTAAAAGAAAAAGTGTACCAGACTTCCGTAACGACAAGAGATATGCTAATAGACAGAATCAGGAATGCATGTGATGAAATAAGGCCTTATTTGAATAAAGCTATACCACGTTCGATCATTCGTAGATGTGAATTGTGTATTGAACAATTGGGTTTACATTTCGAGCAACTACTTTAGATTTTGTATGTTTGTCCTAACTATCATTTTAGTTGTAAATAATTAATTTAATTTGTTAAAAATAATATTGGAAGATTAAACAAATTAATATTGTTTTTTGTGTTTATTTGGAGTTAGGAATTATTGCTGTGTTTAAAAACACAATATAAACGATCATCTTAATTACTTGTAATGCCCAAATCGAAAATGTAAAAAAAAATATTATTTTCCCATAAATAATTAAAAATCCATCGAACCTTAAAAATCGAAATATCTCAAAAACGGCTAACTATTACGAAAACTCACAGGAGAGCTTTTTTATGTTGAAAAGTGCGAAGAATCAGTTTTTTATTCAAAAAGCAAAAAATTGCACTAAGAAAAATTTTTCGGTCATTTTAATACACTACAGGTACAGTAGAGAGCGCCCTCTAGCGGCTACAGTAAAACTATGCCCATGGTTCGTTTTGTCGTACCAAAAAACCATTGTATACCAATTTTCACTGATATACATCAAATATTGTTCGAAATATTTAAAAAAAAAAACTATTATAGAAAGTAAATTTAAACACCCTGTATTTCGGAAGCCACGCATTTTTCGACCCGTGTTTATATAGACTTTGTGCATTAATTTTAGTTCTATCGAATCTTAAAGTTATGCAACAATAAACTGAAACACCCTGTATACATACATATATATACAGGGTTTAGCCGGAAAGTAATAGGACTCGTGCGCGCACCGATTGGATTCGGTAGAGGGCGTTCCTAGCTAACGAATTAGCGGCTGGTCAGTTGTCTCCGAGCACTTGGAGAGTCAGGACAGGCATTTTCGCGCAACGTGTTAAAATCAGGGTATAACTTACAGGGCGTTGCGCTTGATAAACTACAAGGTAATAAAAAAACGGAATAAGATTCTGGAATTTTGAGCTCACAACACATCTTTACTTCAATTTTAAGCATATTTTTGTAAAAGTTTGATGTAACCAAATTGATAACCTTCAAAATTGTGCTTAAATCAAGATAAATATTTGGATAAATGAAAATTTTAACGAAAAAAGAGGCGCAGTTGATATTTTTTGCTTTTCTTGTACCACACAGTCAAACATTTCAATATTCAGCTCAAAAGGTGTTGATATCGATAAAAGTAGAAAAAACCTAATCCAGCCCGTGCTTCTAGTCTTATGTTACTCTTATCGTTCAAAATTTCAACAAAATCAGTTAAATAATTCCTAAGCTAATTCCAGTCGTCGGTAACAATGATATTGTAACAATCAAGCTAAGTAGATGCATAGCTTTTTAAAAACTTCACAAACAGGAATTTGAAGTGATAAAATTGATGCATATGCTATGTTACAACGTAAAAGTGACAGCTGAAACTTTCCAGACGACTGGTGGCCGCCATCTTGGAAACGTTTGCTTAAGCGGAAGATTTCGAATAGATTATAAAGAGCCAATCCAATATATTAACATTGCATTATTGGTCGCCAAAATTTTGTACTTTTAGTGCAGAATTTTGTCTAAGAATCTCTGCCAAAGTGGCAGCGTTGTATTAACCTAATCATCATACTGGTCGGTGAAAACAACCATTTTCCATTGTGCCGCTCTCTGCAAATTATGTAAGAAGTGTGATGCCTAAAAATCTTCTAACACAACAATTATCTGCAAATACCCGTACTTTTAAAAAATATACTAATTTAATGACAGTACTGTCAAAACGTTGACATATGTCCAAAGCACTTCGATCCTCGTTACACACTATGAAGATAAGGTGACACATACTTGACTAGCTCATTCTACCTAGTCTGAATTCGTTGGTTTAAATCGAATGGGGGATCATGTGATGAGTACCTTATTTTGAAGTGTGCATCGACAGCGCATCGACGTAAAGGTTGGCTCCTCAGACATGAGCGCCGACAGAGATTTTACTCAGGAGGACCGATTAGATTGACATGTGGAAACTTTTCGTATATCATAATTACGTTTCAGGTGCCAGTCTTAAAAATTGGATACTAAATTGTGATGATATCATTGCGAGGGAACTTATTTAATGTCATTTTTATAACGCAGCTTGGTACAATTCATATCGTCCGATATTAATTCGCAACTTTCAGCAAAAAAAAAACCAGATGTCGGCTATGCCTTTTTTAAACTGGAGTGGGGGTCATGTGAAACCTCTTTTTGAAGTTCATTCTGAGTATTTTATAGGCACAGTAAATTTAAACACCCTGTATTTCGGAAGCCACGCATTTTTCGACCCGTGTTTATATAGACTTTGTGCATTAATTTTAGTTCTATCGAATCTTAAAGTTATGCAACAATAAACTGAAACACCCTGTATACATACATATATATACAGGGTTTAGCCGGAAAGTAATAGGACTCGTGCGCGCACCGATTGGATTCGGTAGAGGGCGTTCCTAGCTAACGAATTAGCGGCTGGTCAGTTGTCTCCGAGCACTTGGAGAGTCAGGACAGGCATTTTCGCGCAACGTGTTAAAATCAGGGTATAACTTACAGGGCGTTGCGCTTGATAAACTACAAGGTAATAAAAAAACGGAATAAGATTCTGGAATTTTGAGCTCACAACACATCTTTACTTCAATTTTAAGCATATTTTTGTAAAAGTTTGATGTAACCAAATTGATAACCTTCAAAATTGTGCTTAAATCAAGATAAATATTTGGATAAATGAAAATTTTAACGAAAAAAGAGGCGCAGTTGATATTTTTTGCTTTTCTTGTACCACACAGTCAAACATTTCAATATTCAGCTCAAAAGGTGTTGATATCGATAAAAGTAGAAAAAACCTAATCCAGCCCGTGCTTCTAGTCTTATGTTACTCTTATCGTTCAAAATTTCAACAAAATCAGTTAAATAATTCCTAAGCTAATTCCAGTCGTCGGTAACAATGATATTGTAACAATCAAGCTAAGTAGATGCATAGCTTTTTAAAAACTTCACAAACAGGAATTTGAAGTGATAAAATTGATGCATATGCTATGTTACAACGTAAAAGTGACAGCTGAAACTTTCCAGACGACTGGTGGCCGCCATCTTGGAAACGTTTGCTTAAGCGGAAGATTTCGAATAGATTATAAAGAGCCAATCCAATATATTAACATTGCATTATTGGTCGCCAAAATTTTGTACTTTTAGTGCAGAATTTTGTCTAAGAATCTCTGCCAAAGTGGCAGCGTTGTATTAACCTAATCATCATACTGGTCGGTGAAAACAACCATTTTCCATTGTGCCGCTCTCTGCAAATTATGTAAGAAGTGTGATGCCTAAAAATCTTCTAACACAACAATTATCTGCAAATACCCGTACTTTTAAAAAATATACTAATTTAATGACAGTACTGTCAAAACGTTGACATATGTCCAAAGCACTTCGATCCTCGTTACACACTATGAAGATAAGGTGACACATACTTGACTAGCTCATTCTACCTAGTCTGAATTCGTTGGTTTAAATCGAATGGGGGATCATGTGATGAGTACCTTATTTTGAAGTGTGCATCGACAGCGCATCGACGTAAAGGTTGGCTCCTCAGACATGAGCGCCGACAGAGATTTTACTCAGGAGGACCGATTAGATTGACATGTGGAAACTTTTCGTATATCATAATTACGTTTCAGGTGCCAGTCTTAAAAATTGGATACTAAATTGTGATGATATCATTGCGAGGGAACTTATTTAATGTCATTTTTATAACGCAGCTTGGTACAATTCATATCGTCCGATATTAATTCGCAACTTTCAGCAAAAAAAAAACCAGATGTCGGCTATGCCTTTTTTAAACTGGAGTGGGGGTCATGTGAAACCTCTTTTTGAAGTTCATTCTGAGTATTTTATATCCTTAGAATTGAACAATTTTGTATATTAAATCGCTTATAACTCAGCAACTAATCATTAAAACCTTATAATATGTTATATAAATCTTAAACATTTTTGGAAGGGTCTATCTGAATGTGTTTTAATATGAGGCATTTAAAATAAAAATATCGATAGACGGACTTTTTTGAAAGGAATGTTTTTTTTTTATTTTTATTATTTATGCATCAGTTTCATTCGCCCGAATTTCACCTTGTATGTTTATTTCATCTTTCATTCTTTTTGCAGGTTTCGTGCCTGAATGACGTCTGCGGTATGATCCCCTTCTATTTCCCTAATGTGCCTGACCAATTCTACAGACTGTGGACATCTCTTTTTCTCCACGCGGGTATCCTCCAGCTGATGATTACTGTCCTGATCCAGTATTTCCTGATGAGGGACTTGGAGAAGCTAACAGGGAGCGTCAGGATCGGCATAATATACATTGGATCTGGGGTTGCTGGTAATCTGGCCAGCGCTATCTTCGTGCCGTATAGAGCTGATGTAAGTTATATTTTTTTTTAGTTAATTAACTAATCCATCATATCTAAATATGGGTAACAATAAAGAAGGTACGTGCTTCTATTTGGCGTGATAGAAGTCTGTTATTGATGTTGTCTTTATGTGTATTGAACATATTACTATTTTTGCTTCCACTTTTTTGGCGCTAGAATTATCCAGAGATATGCCCACCCTTTGCCCAAATTGGTATTATTGATGACGTTTGTAGACCTTGAAGTACTGCTAGATAGAATCGAGAGTCAGTGCTTGCATGCTTTCAAAACTATTGAGAATATAATCTCATTTATTACCATCATACTCTGGCAGGTGGTGAGAATCGATCACTCAGCTTTTTAAATTTGTCCTTTAAGTGACTTTACAAATAAAATGAACCATGAAATGCTTACCCGGAGAGGGAGAGAAAGTGATCTCTGATTTGAATTCAACGACTGTAAAACGTATGTATACGACATGCGTCTGAACTCGAATGCTAGACTTACGTATTTTTTATTTGTCTTGAGTGAGCTTGACATGACTTTCAAATGCCTTTATGGTGACTAATTGATCTTTGATTTGTACTCACTGATCAGAAGAACCTTCATGGCATGTGATTGGTCTCAACTGCTCGGCTTCTTTTAGAAGTATCCTTGAGATGACCTTGAAGTGATTTTCTAATGCCCTCATAAAGACTAACACCGGATTCAAAGTTAACGGCTCAAAAACCCAGGTAGCACAAGCACCTGAAATGACGTTACAAACTAGCCATGAAATGCCGAGAAATGGCTAGTCGAATGACGTAAAGGTATATGTAAAAATGACCTCCTAATGTCCCATACCCATAGCGTCATATATCAGTCCTTAATAATACTTTCTGGACGTACCTTTAAGGCCCTAAAAGTTTGCTTTTTCGAAATCAGACGGGAATTCCAACAGTCAGGCTTGTTTCCTACGCTCAAAATGTTTATTTTTCAATCACTATAGAATTTTTTTCTTGCATATATATAATTAATTGGTAAATTGGCAAATCTTTTAGGCTAAAGTTGACTCTTTTGACGATAAAATTAAGCTTTCGGCATTCTCTATGGAGCCTTCATCAGGATTCTGAAAACACAATTGTGATGCTAGCAAAGAACAGATTTAAATTGTCAGACAACTTACTCGTCGGTGAGGTTGCAGCCACAAGGTGTTTCAAAACGAACGTAGAGAAGATCGAACTTGTAATCAGTACAAAAACAAAAGGACGGGGACATTGGGCTTGTTGTAAATCAACAGATACTTTCGTTACATGTTAAAAATATCAATTCACCCGAACAGATTAAAAAGTATTACACGTGAGAAGATATTTTGGTGAAACAATCGGAATGCAGTCTCTAACCTTATACTTCCGCTACACGTGGAGAGGGGGACAGCACGTAAAGATAAAGCGTCGACAGAATTTTTAATTTTTCTCGCCTTTTCTTAGAAAATTTCAAGAAAAAAAAAATAAGATACAGGTTCAAAAAAGTGCCGCGCTGTAAGCGACGCTCGTCACTTAGGTATCGAGTGAGGCCGATCTTGAGTCGATATTTTGCTAAATGGCGACACGTAGCTTATAAAAGTCTTCGTACTACGCGAAAATCCACCATTTTTTCGACTTTGACCGCCGTTTTTGATCGCATTTCTTTCTCGTACATCGACGGTAGTCACTCGTAAAGCGCTGAGTTTCTAGTTCCCGAAACGGTATCCTTTCCTTTCGCGAACCCGTAAAAATCGCGCCGAGGTCGAAACGCACGGATCCAGACTCGAGAGAGGAAGCGAAAAAAAAAATAAAAGATATATAATATTGTCGATGAATAACAGGTCTTCGCTTCTTCAAAAAATTATATACTGTGCGTTATCAGTAGTATTATACAGATAGAGCACCACGGGCTACACATTGTAACACTGGCTCGGTGATGCCAAGAACGACCTATTACTGGGCCCCCTCCCTCACTTTACCAGCTTACACGAAGCTTGTGGTGCAAAGACTACGCTTATGCTGCTATTTATACTCCCTATGGGCTTTGTAAAAAATATTGTAGGCACATAGGTAATACACATGGTACTATACACAAAGTGGTGAGGAATTAACGCCACGTTAGTCAGAAGCAGTATACAGGTCGATTGCAGTGATTCTCGATTATTGTTCACTGTCAATACATCCAGATACCTGAAAATATTTTCGAGAATACATTCGTAACACAATGTTGTATCCATCCATCCATTGGGTTATTTTTTATTCATTTTACACTCACCCTCCTTCTTAAAAACCATCAAATATCATTCAGGGTGTAATTTAACTGATGGCTGAAATACAGGATATGATTCCTTAGCTTATTTTAGAAAGAAACGTTAATATGAACATCCTATAAACTTCTTAACTTTTGAGCTCCAGGGTGTTAAAATTTTAAGAGAAAATTCGTTTTCTTATCATAACTTTAACAATGTTCTGGATATTTTAATCAAATTTGACATGCACCTACTGAGCACAAATAGACATTGTTTGATTTAAAATATTTTTTAATATTTCTACCAGTGGCGTCCGTACGGGATGTATACTGGGGATTTTTCAAAAAAATATGGTCATTGCTTTTTTTGAAGTTAAAAATTTATGAAATCCTCATTTATTTTGCACCAAATTTGAGCTCTTGACTTTTTTCAGTCCGATGCACCGTTTTCGTGTAATAAATAAAAACCATTTTCATGCATTTGTGGTATAACGAAATTATTGAAAAAACAATGGCGTACCATATTTTTTTAAATATCTCCAGTATAGATCAAAAAATGTCTATTGGTGCTTAGTAGGTGCATGTCGAATTTCATGAAAATATCTAGAACAGTATTAAAGTTATGATAAGAAAACGAATTTTTTCTCAAAATTTTAGCATCCTGTAACTCAAAAGTTAAGAGGTTTAGGAAACATGTTCGTATAAACTTTTCCTTTTAAAATGAGCTAAGAAATCATATCCTATATTTTTAGTCATCAATTTGTATGTACACCCTGTACATCGCAATGCTAGGAATACAAAAATATGTATTCCGGCTCTAGTCCAGATTACATCGGCGGCTAGATACAAACTGGTTCGAACAGGGTACACATGAGTAAACGAATTAGAAAAAAAGGACTATCATATGCTGGATGTTCCATATAAAAAATACAACTTTATTCGAAAGCACTTTTCTGAGGTACAAAAAAAATAATACATGGAAAACTTCATATTAGACTTTCATATACTATTTTATCTTCTGTAAAGTCATATAAAAAAGTTAGAGTTTATAACCGGACACCCTGTACAAGACTACTTTTACTAACTTTATTCACGGGTGAAAACTTCCTGTACAGCCAACATTAACAAAAGGAAACGTTTACGAAGAATTTTTGAAAAGGTTTTGTCGTTTTTATTCCAGGTCGGTCCTGCTGGTTCACAGTTTGGCCTCCTAGCCTGCCTCATAGTGGAGGTGCTGAACGCATGGCCGATGTTGAAACATCCCAACCAGGCGCTGTGCAAGCTGCTCTCAATCACCTTGGTGCTATTCTTTCTTGGCCTGTTGCCGTGGGTGGACAACTACGCACATCTTTTCGGCTTCATCTTCGGATTCCTGCTCTCTTATGCTTTCTTGCCTTTCATCTCCTTCGGACATTATGATCGTCATAAGAAGATCTTTCTTATCTGGGTAAGTAGAATTTGTGATCAAAAAACGATTTGACGTGCTTTATATCAAAACCACCATAAAAGGACGATTTCACCTCTGTCGTTTCAATTAGTTCGTGTTTGATGATGTGATCGAAATGATGGCTGTGCAAGAGGTAAACAAAGAGGGAAAGCTACGTTATGAGGGGTCATCAGATGCCTAGCAAAGGTGCAAATATGTCGCTGTCATCATTTGTCGGATCAAAAGGGAATTGTCAAACTAAAATTCAAATTGTTCATAACATCAAGACGTTAATTTCAATAGTGTCCGTATCATGCAGCCTATAAAAACCATTGTTATACATGGGAAATCATTTCTTGCCAACAGCGCATCGACTCGTCTACTTTCATCGCTGTTCGTACATATTTCCTACCGTTAACCGCAGACCTGTATCACGAATGAGAATAATAGGCAGATACGCTGTGTTGCCAATTTGAGTAAAGCTTCCCGAATTGTGGGGAATTTAGAGTTGAGTGTTGATTCATTCAAGCTTTTAATCAGCATGGCCTAGACGTTAGAACTTCATAAAGATAACATTGAAGCTGAATGCTGCTGGAGTATAGTGTTTCGAATATTCAAAGCGGAGCGGGACACTATACTCGTTCAATGGGTCATCAAGCCACAGTCTTTTCAACAAAGAAATTATTTTACGAAAATGCGTTATATTTTTACGATTTTGTCGTCACCAAATCTCTGTTTCTCAAAATGTACGTCTATTGTAGAATTTTCAGCAAACTAAGCAAGAAACGTGATCTAGTATTTACTCAACATTACGGATTTCTCGAAATACATTAAAAAATGTGACCTAGATACCTAACTGCCCCAAGCTCTTTAAATATAACACCTTAAACCAGGGTTACCAGGTGCTCAGTCACGTTAATTGTCATGTTGTACTGCGCAAGTCAGCAAACAATCTGGCGTAATAAACGTTAGGAATCATCAGGTATTGCCAGATTCCCGAATACCGGGCACCATAGTAACCGTTATAGTTGTCCTTCAAAGTGGTCAAATCGCCCCTATGGCGCAAATTCGCCACACCAGGCAACTGTGCTATAAACAAACCCTGTTTATCACTACTATTTGATAGTCATATGGTAGTTGTAGCCCTATCTAGCGGTCCATGATTTCTCTCAATACTGTTGTATCTCTACTGGCAACAAGAATAGCGATTACAAAATCATTTATACAACAATATACAAACATGAAAAATATGATTTGAGCCATGAAACATTAATACAATTTTAATAGTTTGAACTTTTTTCATTTTTGGAATACTCTTATGTGGAATCCGCAGCTATTTTTCCCGAAATTTGGGTAGACTTAGATTTCTTAGAAATATGACATATTGGTATCGGCAACTCTGCGAATGGGAGAAAGAAATCGCATTTGTTGAGCGCATCCGTCTAAGCGGTAGGCGCCAGCGCCCGTTCTGCCATCTCTCTCTTTTATCACTCTTCTACTTTACCCCGTTGTCCGTCACATTCCGATGCTGCCACATAGAATCCTACAATCGAGTGTCTTTCACGCACCTACATACTTTTGTATATTTCCATCTCTCTTCCTCATCATAATGTATAATAATGTTTTTTCCCAAGGTGTATACCAGGAGAAACTACGACAATGGTGTGCATGCTGTAAAAATGACCCCGAAACTTAACGCCTAAAGTGCCAGTGGTGCTTTGACAGGGTTGCCATTTTGGGGATTTCCAACCCAAATTTGGGGAACATTTTTGAGGATCTAGTGTTCTATGGGAAATCACGCGTTTCGCAGATAGAAAGCATCCCCGCTCTTTGAACTAAAGCTACCCCTTTCCATAAATTAACTGTGATTTGTGAGATTATTTTATTGTAATTCTGCGGGATTTTTGTGCTTGCTCTGTAAGTCCCATCTGGCAATAATCTGATTTGACAGATTCATCGTATGAACACTTTGCAAATAGTCTAAGATCCGACCGCTTGAACCTGCAGGTATGTTTTTATTGGTTTTTATGAACGATTAAATAAGAGTAGAATAGATGACAGCAGAGTTGCCTTTGCCACGCAACCCTGCTGTGTTCTGAATTGAATTGAGAGTCAAATTCAGCGCATTTGCATACTAAATGCCATACCCCTTTAAGGCAAAACTCATGTTGTTATACATCAGTTGGTCGAACTAAATCATTAAGGGAATACCGAAAAAAGTAATAGGGTGCAGGAGCATACCATTAGTTTTGCCCTTTATTTGTATATATAATAAATTCAGAGTTCAAGTTCCAGGGCGTTGCACAAAAAGTTAAAACAAATCGAGTCCGGTGCTGGATCATGTAGCCAGCTAACTAGTTTTGCTTTACTCCTAGGTAACTTTGTTATTGTGCAAAATTTCACTAAAATCGGTGTTTAGATAAATTACCCTGTATATCTGTAAAAGCGAACTTAGACGTTTTTATTTTTAGATATGAAAAAGTCTCAGTCGCTCTGTTCATTTCCTCACGGAACACCATGTCTAGCTTTTTTCTGATCTACATAAGGTTGCTGAACTAAACTTGCCGAAGCATATGTATGTAGATCATAGATGCATTTTTACTACATATATCTACCAAAAAAAATGTCAACAGCGAAATTGATTTTTCAGATATCACATTGTTTCCAAAACCAGCACTAACAACAATGGCTGTGCGTTATAACACAGCGATAATAATGTATCTCGTAAGCGAATTGTGATTTGAATGAAAAACTACTAACAAACGTACATTCCATTCTACTCCACTAATAACATGAAGCTGTTGACAAACAATTTGCTTCTCCCACATAAATACAACATGCAACTTGAACATCAAGTACCTTTTACTATTTTTTTTAAATTTCAAAGGACTCAAATGGGATCAAAACTTGACTAGGTGTCTTGATTGAATGATTGAACTAACTTTTCGGAAAGTATGGTATTTGTTCCAATTATGCTGCGAGCCGTTTTGAATATTATTATTTTACTACCAATTCTCCCACCAGAAATATGACAAAAATCACTATTTTAGGCTATTACAGTGGTGTCATCTCTTAAAAGGATCAATTCAGTCAAATAGATCCATAAAACTAGTCCCCAGTCCCCATCTATTTGACAACGCTGCAATCAAAGATATAATGAGTCAATCTCTCCCGCGCAGAGGCTAGTTCGCGACAAGTCTGTTTTATCTTGTTTGCACTCAACGGTATATTTCTATCGTTCTTAGTCCTAAGGATAAATGTATGTAGAAATCTATGTGTGAAGTATGTCTAATAAGTGCGTAGAATTACCGGAGGCTAGAAGCATATAAATAAAATAGATGCATACTCTTCCCTCTCTCTGCAACCTCCACTCCAATTTTTACCCCTCAAAAAAATTCTCAATAGCCTCTGAAACGTAAAAAACAAACTATGATCGATTTTTTTTTCGTTTTTCATGCGTAGCTCCGCCACCACTGAAGCTATTTTCAAAAAGTTTTTCGTCTTTGACATATAAGTAACCTTGTGTCAAATCATCAAAATACGAATGAGTGGCATGGTTTTTCGTGATGTACATGTCATGTAACATCCGCAAAACATAAACTTTCACTTTCGAAATTTTTCGCGATTACAGTTCATCATGCCTTCATAAATAATCATCTATAGGATCCGATAAAAAAGCGCTTCAAGCTATTTCTTGATTTGCTCATTTTATCACTACATTTTTTAGAATTCTTTCCCAAGATCTTTCTTTAGTTCCAATAATAATTTTTTTTTCTTTTTTGTTACAGGTGTGCCTGGCATCTGCCTGGATCCTGTTCATCTGTCTGGTGCTGCTGTTCTACATAATCCCCGTGTACGATTGCAAGATCTGCTCATACTTCAACTGCCTGCCGTTGACGCGCGACTTTTGCGCCTCACAGAACATCAACTTCAAAAGAGAGGAGCCCATAGTATGACGAATGTTGATGCGGTTCATGACCGTACCATTAGTTCTTCTCGTCACGACGTTTCGATGGTCATTGCCGATGGCATCATCTGCATTAATGTTACGGCTGTCGAGATTTGCCCTGAATGCGACACGGTTTGCGGTTGGTTGTTTTTAGTATTGTTTATGTTTTTTCCGATATCCTAAGACTCAGGTCCGGTAGAGTATCTACATAAATTGGTCGAATTTAAGATTCATTAATATTACGAAGACTGTTTAGTGATCTCCCATGGAAAAATCATATGCACACACAATGCAAATATATGTAACCAAGAAATGAACTTACTACGTGTGTTGCTTAAACAATCATCACTACCTTAGTGCAGTAGTATTGACATTCGTGAAGTCTGTAGAACAATTGTTTTTATGACACGTTGTTCAGTCTCAAGGATTTGAATGATGATGAATGATTTGTTGATGACATGTTTGTGATTCTCTTTGAGATATGTTTTTTTGATCACTAGCTTTTGTCACTCTTGTTGAAGCCCATTCAATGATTTAAAAAATATATAAATTAAAGTTTGTGAAACTAAAAACACACGCTTCAATAGCAAATCGAACTAAAAAGTGGAAAATAATAAGTATCGCAGAGTTTATGTTACTGCCATAGTAAGTCCAACAATCCAGTACGACTAATTAATTTGGAATAAGGTCAATATAAAAGTTAAGATATCAACAAAAAATTCAATTTTAGGAGAAAAGCGTGAGGTGATTGATACTAAAGGTAAGAATTATTTTTTTAGTTGCTATTTACAAAATTTTAGATACTATGAAAATACAGTTAATTGATTTCCACCCTTTTTTAATATAATTGAATGTTTTATTATTATCTTAATTTTTTTTGTTAATTTTATTCCAAATTAATTAGCCATACTTGATTGTTGGACTTTCTATTGCAGTAGCATAAACTCCCCGATACTTGAATATTATTCTCTACTTTTAGTCCGATTTGCTATTAGAGGGTGTTTTTTATTATTTATTATTATATAATTTATTTTCAGAATTTTTTGTCTCAAAACGACATTAAAAGTACTTATAATCACGAGAACCAATTTTTGGTATATTTTATTGTATTTTTTTCAAATTTCGGTATTTCCAAAATTTCAAAATCTTCAAATTATATTCCAAATTTTCAAATCCAAGTTTTTGAAAAATTTCAAAATCCAGATTTTTTAAAATTCTACAATTCGATTTTTTTTAATTATTGTATTGTCATCAGCGCTTGACCGCTGTGCAAATTTTCAAGTTAATCAGACGTCTTGACGTTGCTGAAAATTAGGTTGGGAGATTCCATTGCATACATACATACAGTCAAACATGTAGGTCAAGCTAATAAAATCGCGATTCAGAAAGGCTATCGAATATGACAATATTTTGATGTCAAATGTACTTCGAAATGGACCATTAAGGCACATCAGTTAACTAAAACATAAAAAAAGTTGATGACATCTTTGAAATATGTGTTTTTGATCACTAGCTTTTGTAACTGTTGTTGAAGCATAAGAAGTCGTTCATTCAATGATTTTAAAAATAAATTATGATTTGAGAAACTAAAAAACACGCTTCAATAGGAAATCGAACTAAAAAGTGGAAAATAATAAGTATCGAAGAGTTTATGTTACTGCCATAGAAAGTCCAACAATCAAGTACGACTAATTAATTTGAATTAAGGTCAATATAAAAATTAAGATATTAACAAAAAAATCAATTTTAGGAAAAAAGCGTGAAGTGATTGATATTAAATGTTAGATTTATTTTTATTTACCATTTACAAAATTTTAGATATTATGAAAATATAGTTGATTGCTATCCACCCTTTTTTAATATAATTTAATTTTTTGTTAATATCTTCATTTTTATATTAATTTTATTCCAAATTAATCAGTCATACTTGATTTTTGGACCTTCTATTGCAGTAATATAAACTCCACGATACTTGAATATTATTTTCTACTTTTAGTTCGATTTGCTATTACAGAGTGTTTTTTTTTTTTAGTTTTCCCAAACTATAATATATTTTCGGAATTTTTAATCTCAAAACGACATCAAAAGTATTTATAATCACGAGCACCTACTTTTAGTATATTTTATTGTATTTTTTCAAATTTAGGAATTTCCAAAATTTCAAAATCTTCAAATTATATTCCAAATTTTCGAATCCAAAATTTCAAAATCCAGTTTTTTTTAAATTTTCCAATTCGATTTTTTTCAATTTATTGTATTGCCATCAGTGCTTGACCGCTGTGCAAATTTTCTTTTTAATCAGACTTCTTGAACTTGGTGAAAATTAGGTTGGGAGATTCAATTGCATACATACATACATACAGTCAAACATGCAGGTCAAGCTAATATACGCTTGTTTTAAGAAGACTATCAAATATGTCAATATCTTGATGTCAAGTGTACTTCGAAATGGACCATTAACGATGAACATCAGTTAACTAAAACATAAATATAGCAAAATGTATCAAAATATTACCATTTTTAACTTTGGCCGATTTTTTAGGTACATCATTGTTCTGCTTCTGAGTCTATTAAATAATAATTCAAATCATAAAATAGTAAAACCTTCGACTGGATAATTTCAAACAAATTATGAGTATCACCTCTATCGTGATATATCCGCGTCTCAAAAATATATTTTAATGCAAAGCTTAATCAAGATCATATAAGATAATAAGCTATGCAGCGCTAGTTCTTTAATCTTTAATCTCAAATCCAGAAACTGGAGGTTGAAAGTATCATAATTTGCTTGCTCTAATAAAGTTTATACTGGAGGTTTTACTATTATATTAAGAAGTCGCCATTGTGTTAGGAATGAATATTTGTATGTTTTCAACAATGACAATCTAAGGACTGCTCATAAGATGGCAAAATAAAAAAACGTATGAGATTTTTATGGTAGCTTTCATAGTAGTAGCAGTAGTGATAGATTTTATAAATTTTCGAAAGTTATAACATTGATATTGTTTGTAATTTGTAGACACGGTGGACGTTTCAAGGGATTACTTTCGGACTTCCATTGTCTAGAATAAAATTCACAATTCAGTTCACCTGAAGACGTTTGAAGATACCTCATGAATCGAAAGGTCGTGTGACCCAATTTTTTCATCATTGTTAACTACTATTTTACCAGCATAAAATAATATTAAAGGTCGATTTATCAACGAGGACGTTGCCGTACCGCTGGCGTTCCGTTAAAATAACGCTGCCGCTGGGAGTTGAAATCTCATTATAAACTTGCTAACGTTACGGCGCGTGACATATAGCCTAAACCAAAATTGCAATCTTTTACACACATAACATAAGAAGACCAAACTTGTCTGTAGATCAGATGCAGTGTCTTCATTAGTTATGCCCATGAGATAATTCTTATCAATATTTAAACTAAATAAAATTGCAAAAGCAAAACAAAACATATGTGTAATGTCAAACAGAGCTGGAACCACGTAAAAAAACTAACTGATCTACCAAACACTTGATTTACAGGCTCATTGGTGGCAACGGCAGAAAGTTAATTTATAAATCGATGTTAACTGAAATAAGCATAATTTAGGGTGCTAAACATTTCATGATGGATTTTGCAAATCAAGAATCGCTAACTGCAAGCCTCGATACAGTCAGAACACTGCTCACAACAGACATCCTTTATTGACACAATGGTGATTTCTTATGAAATTTCGAGAATAAAATTTGACTTCTTTGTTGATTTTCTATACAATGTCGCCAAATGAGGTTTACTGATAGTTAGAAGGCAAGAAGAGCTTTGTGTGTACGTATACGCTGTAATTTCTTCAAATTTTGAACTGCCATTGTTCTACAGCCACATGGGATGGAACGAAATATTATGTTAAACTATAATCCAATACTCACATAGTCTGTAAGCAACATTTATGGAAGGCCTTATTATCAAGGTTACAATACAGATAAAGAGATAAAGACATCATTTTACCAGTGACTACTTAAAATAGGGAGGTCACGTAAAGTGCAGCAACTGGAATAAGGTTTTTTCGTACTTCGTTTATAACTTTGATTTACAACCCTCAACAATCTTTCGTCATACCTTGCATCTTTTTGACCTTCTTTCCCAGAAAAAAATCTCGTTGCATTTCATTCAAGCTGCAGAAGTAAGCCTCATTAGATGAAAACACGTTTGTTATCCCCTAGGTTGTTTATTACATAAAGTGCGAAGTGAAACTTGACAAAAACTATTGCGAATTCTTATAGGTATTAAACAAATATGGAGACGGGTGTGTGTCTACGAATTTTTGAAGATTAGTTTTGTGATAAAAATAAAGACTTCATGTATAAAAATTTTCCAAGGAAAAGAGGAAAACACGTTGAAAATATATACATAACTCTTTAAGAACCATGTGATAATTGAGGATATCTTCATATTATTGAGTAAGATACGGCTATTATTATTTATATTATCAATGACAAATATGTGCAATGAATATTTGTTCTGTTGGCAACGAAAGAAGGCTACAATGAACTTTTCTTTCAGCTGAATAAAAAACCCAACGAACAGAGAAGCTTTGACGTGAAAAAGAAACTTCGGAAAACCAGTTGTATCGTACTTTGTGCGAGTATGGATATTTTGTAGGTAAATCATATTTTGCTTTTACCTGACCAGGCTATAAAGTGATGGTAAGACTGTGCTTTCCACAAAAATGGTCATCCATTTTTTACCCATCGAATACTACAATTAGTTTTCCGGATTTCTATTCATCAAATAATTTAATTGATACTCTGTTTCTTGGAATAAATATAAAAATCGCTTGGTTAAACCCTTACCATTATTAGCTTGAAACCCGTTTGTAAAAGGGTTGTTTCCCAGACAGCAAGAAAATAAACGACAAATTATTGCGATTACTTTCAATAACCCTGACATTTTGTATACTTTATTCTTTTCTTTGAGATATGTACACAATCCTACTGTAAATACAGTATTTGAGGTTTTCACTGGACAAAAAATTCTATCCGTCAGTTTATTTTCTAGCAGCCTCAGAAACAAAACCTTAATCGGTAAAATTTGATCAAGAACAATATCAAAATGTAAAATTTATGGACGGCTTTGTGCTACTCGCTATCGTTTTGCCTATTGTTATTGACAAATATTTATTGATTTCATCCCAAGAACTTATGTATAAATATATAATACATTCCATAGTCTGGTTTCTATGTGTTTAAATATGAAAAAATTATCAAAAATATTTTCATTATATAGATACTCTGTATAAAATAAGCGCATGAATGGACAAAAAAGAAAATGGTAAAACATTATGTAAATATAACTAATACAGTATGGTATGGTGTTTTCATTTACTATGTGAGAAATGTTAATTTTGTAATATTTAAAAAATACTATGATATCCTGAAAAATTTATTTGTTTACCTGCAGAATCTACTTCACACACTGTTGTAACAATATTCTAGTGAGATGTGTGTATAAAGGGTGGTCCAACATTATGACGATGTTTACCTGTGCCTCTTCTAATGGTAATGTTTCTTTTGGTACTGTGAATTTATGGCCCTGAGATTTGACTTGAGGGAGATGTTGCGTGAAAGAGAAGAAATCACGGAAGCTGCGCAGCCTGGTGATTTTTTATAATTTTTGTCACAAAAACAATTCATAATAAAGGCACTCGTGAGCTTTGTTATTAAATTGGCTCACCCTGTATATCGTGATTCATCGATATTTCTGAAATTTTTATACAAATCTCGACATATTTTGTAACCGACTCTGTTGGTACGAAATATTGATGAATTTGATGCAATCTATCTACAAATTGAAAACCTTCGTATAGCATAATGTAATCATGGTATGGTAACGTCTGTAGATTTTTCTTGATTTGGTCATTTCTTTCCAAATACTGAGCAGCAGAAGTTTTGAAGTGGTACCTTATGTGGTTGCTGAATCTTTTCTCAATTAAGGTAAGATACGTTTAGAAATATTATATACAGGTAACGTGGCTCAGAAGGTTTATACTTACATTCTCCGAAACCTTAAAGACTTTGAAGATGGATACTTTTGACTTTATATATTTTCAGTCCATAGCCTTTGGTATAAGGGCTTCACAATGGGACGGTGTATAGTGGTATATCGTTTTAAACCTATCAACTAGCAGACACGCACAAATAGGCAGAAAATACACAGATGAATCAAGCGTTCTACATCTATGTTATAGTATGTACGCCATATGAACAATATCTAACCTACTCATATTAGTTGCTTAAGGTGTTTGCTTGCAGCCTATCTACAGCTAAGTAGATAAGTTCATTCTCAAAACGACTTTCAGTCATTCAAAGGCAATGGAAATATTTACTCCATTCTGTACGCAGAGCTACGTGATGACTGTACCCTTCTTTTACAGTACGTTTCTGGAATGAAAAAATTGACAAAGTCGCAGACGTTGCATATAAATATTACGACTGATATAATTAAAAACGTAATGTTCCAACAGTTGTACAGTTACATTGTAATATTACATCAGGTGTTACCACTAAGACCAAGCCTTAACATTATAATACAATAAAATACTTCTGCACATCAACAGTATTTTATTTATTACCCCGGCCTCTTCTTTTGACTTGAATATTTATGTAAAATGTCGTCCTATCTATCAAAATCAGTTGATCAAAATTTGTTACTAGGATCACGCTCCTACTATCATGCTGGTGTGAAATTTGAATCCTTGGCACATATACCTCTCGTCGTTTCTGCGATTCTAATACAGATTTATATAGGAACCCCCTGGCTGAATCAAAGCACACAGATGTTTTAATGTCCCTTTATTGTTACGAAGTTTCGGCCACAGTGGCGTTTTACAAGTACAATTACTATCAGGATCGCAGAAACACAAGGAGGTATGTGAATGGTCCTGCTCCTGCTAGGATGTTTTGTCATTTCTGCGATCCTCATGTACGCACTGTCGACCAGATTTTTCCCGCAAAAATTAGTGGGGAGTATTGCTATTCGAATCACGAAATACCGATCTAAAAGTTTCTGAAAATCACACTGTCGACCAGATTTTCTCGTAAAATTGGTGGATGGAGATTTGCTACTAGGATCATAGAAGCGCGAGAAGGTATGTAAATGGTACTTTGCTCGTGCTATGTGATACTATCGAAAAATTCTGCCCCTTCATATCTATGCTCCTGGTCGCTTCTGCGATCCTAATACACATTTATAAGTTTCTTGAAATCGCACTGTCGACCAGACTGATTGGTGGAAAGTGATTTGCTATCGGGATCACAGAAATGCAGGGAAATAGGTGAATTTGCAATCCTGATACAGATACCTTTTTCGTAAAATTGCTGGATTTCTGATACTGGAGAAAAATTTGGTTCCTTGCCACCTATAGCTCTTGTCGCATCTGATATCCTGATATGGATCTAAGAGTTTCTGGAAATCTCATTCTCGACCAGTTTTTTCGTGAAATTGGTAGATGGCGGCTTGCTATCATGATCACAGAAACGCGAAGAGATGTGAATGTTAATCCGCTCATGCTGTCATACTGGGATGGAATTTGGATCATTGACATCTATGCCTCTTATCA